GAGAGAGAGAGAGAGAGAGAGAGAGAGAGAGAGAGAGAGAGAGAGAGAGAGAGAGAGAGAGAGAGAGAAGTCCGACAAGCCTGACAAAAAGGTCTGGCACAGTCATGCCTTTTTTCTAGTGTTGTGTACAGCTAACATCACAAGACACACATCCCCCTTTTGGCTAAAGACCCTACCAATACCGACCAGGGGGAGCAAACCGTTTGTTGGCAGTTCCTTTTACTATTTCTTGTCTTTTGCTTTTCGTTTTCCCAACTACCCTTGGAAGACCAATCAAAGGTACGGTACTTCGCGCCGGGGCATCCTAATCTTCTCCGTGTGCCGTTCCATTTTTAACGGATGGTCTCGCATGTGGCCGCTGCCAGAGGCTGACACGCAGAGACTGAAACAAGAATCAAAGGCATCTGCTGATGGCCGATGATACACACACGTGGCTGCTGATGCACAGATCCCGAGTTTGAGTCCAGGTGGACACAACAATGTCAGGGGATAATCCCCTTACCTGATACAGGCGCGGAGCTCAATCATCTTTTTTTTTTTTTTTTACCTGATACAGGCGCAGAGCTCAAACATCTCCTACACCGCTTCTCTTTGGGGACATGGAGAAAAGAGAAAAAATACAAAGGGATGATACATTGCTCTCAGCAATGATTCCCAGCCTGTTGTGCATGAACCAGTCGTTTTTCTGGTCGAGGTGGCAGTTGAGGCATCTGCTTCGCGACAAGCCGGTCCACAGTAGGAATATCCGAGGAAACAGTTTGTCCGTAGGCAGAGAGGGAGAAGAGGACAACAAACCAGGGGCTGTGACAAACTGTTTCGTCGGAGTTTCACCGACTCATCGTATATAACCTTATATATACATACATATTTTAAAAAATTAGCCAGTAATTTGCCCGCCTGCCCAACAGATTATAAAATCAAAATAGATACTACGTATTAGGTGGCACATTCCCCTTTCAGCATGTGCATATGTAGACACTCACTCAAGTGTGCGATGCAAAGTAACCTGAATTTCACCACCTGATTGATTTGC